AGAGACCCTCTCTAGAGAGAGTTTCCCACTATTTTTCTTCCATTTACGAAGAAATTCGGGACATGAGAATTCGAGAGCCAGGAAGTGTGAGGATGTCCCTTATCCTCCGGTCTCAGTCCCAGTTCTCCAGGCCTATTCCTCTTTGCTTTGGCGACTCAGGTTTGTTGTCCCCCATCTTCCTTTCCAGCCACTGGAACCTACACTTCTCCCACCACTAACTATCGTTCCAGTGGTTCTCTGTCAGAAGTTCAGCGGCCCACGCTGAGAATCTTCTTGAAAAGGCTGTAAGTGGTAAGGAAAACGGGGCAGGGAGATAAACACACCAGGATTTTTACCTCCAAAAACCCCATTTACCTGGGAGAAGGATTCACCAGAGGTGGGAGTAGGAGTAAGAATCCCTCTTGGACTGAACTTCAGATTCACCTAGGATTTTGTCTTCTACTTCCCTCATGGTTCTGGGGGGAATTTACTCCCTAGACATAGGCTCAGCCCTAGCCCTACACTTGGAAAATGTAGGTCTGTCTAGCTTTCTAACCTTTGCCTACTCCTAGGGCCCCTGATGGTTCCTGCATCTTGACCAATAGTGCTGATAACATCCTGCGGATTTATAACCTACCCCCAGAGATGTACAATGAAGGGGAACAGCGGGAATATGCAGAAATGGTAAGGGTAAGGGCTAAACCAGCCCTTTCACCAGACACTGAACATCTTCTTCATCATGAATTTCCATAGGTAGCATTTTTTATCCTAAATTCTGAAGTCCTTTATTTTTATTAGATTTTTAAAAATTGATTTGAGAGAGAGAGAGAAAGAAAGAAACATCTATTTGTTGCCTTATCCGGTTTGGCTCAGTGGATAGAGCGTTGGCCTGTGGACTGAAGGGTCCCGGGTTTCTATTCCAGTCAAGGGCACATGCCAGGGGTTGTGGGCTCGATCCCTAGTAGGGGGCCTGCAGGAGGCAGCCAATCAATGATTCTCTCTCATCATTGATGTTTCTATCTCTCTCCCTCTCCCTTCCTCTCTGAAATCAATAAAAATACATATTTAAAAAAAAAGAAACATCTATTTGTTATTCTACTTATTTATGCATTCAACCTGACTGGGATTGAACCCAAAACCTTGGTGTTGGGAGGATGCTGTAACCAATTGAACTAGGGTATAAAGTCATTTAGAGAGATGTTTGTCCCTTCTTTAGTCAGGAATATGTGTTTTCCATAAAAGAGTAGTGACTTTTAGTGACAGTAGTTAATTGACTTACAGATTTTTTTATTTTTAAAATTTTATTTTAATGGTATTTTATTTTTTGTTAATCCTCACTCAGGTATATTTTTCCATTGATTTTTAGAGAGAGTGGAGGGGTGAGAGACAGAGAAACATCAATATGTCGATTGGTTGCCTCCCACACGGGGATTGAGCCTGCAACTGAGATACGTGCCCTTGACTGGAATTGAACCTGGGACTCTGCAGATCGAGGGTTGGTTGATGCTCTATCCAAACCAGCTAGGGCCAGGTTTTTTTTGAGAGTACATTTATTAAAGCTGGGCACAGTGAAACAAGGAAGGGCTTAGGACAGAAGAAGCAACAGGAGGGAGCCTAGGTGGAGCTGCTGTGGCTCTGTAGAAATGTTATAGGAAAGAAATGGCCCCAGGCAGGGCTGCTGTGGCTCACTGGAAAGTCAGAGAAAAGGAACCTTAGAGACGGGTTGAGGTGGTTAGCCAGGGTGAACTGCCGCTGCCCGTTGCTCCCCTGGTTGCAAGTCTTGTGGGGACCCTTAGAGTTTAGGAGATGCATGCCTGAGCAGGAAGAAAGGTGTGGGCGTGCTCCTGAGAGGGAGAGTGCCGACAGATATTTACTGAATGATTACCAATACATCAGTTACTGTGTGGTGCTGGGATAAAGTGAATGAGACAGATGAGCTGGTTTGCTTTCTTGTTTGGGAGATAGACAACAAACATGCAAACCAATAAATAACCAAGTTCATTACAAATGATAATAAATGTTATGAAGGAAGTAAAACAGAATGAGAGAGAATAACGAGAGGATACGACTGAGATAAAATGGTCAGGAAGGGGCCTTCTGAAAAGGAGACATTTAAACTGAGACCTGAAGGATATGAGATAGTCATGTGAAGAGCTGTAGAAAGAGCATTCTGGGGAGAGGCAATGATCTTGCAAAAACCAAGAGCTGGGAAAGAGCTTTGTGTGTTCAAGGAACAGAAAAAAGACTAATGCACCTGGACTGAGGCCAGTGAGAGGGGAAGGGTGCTGCTTATGGAGAGATGGCCAGTGGCCACATTGTGTCAGGTCTCGTCAGTAAGGCATTTGGAGTTTATTTGGGAAGCCATGTAGAGTTTTAAAACAGGTGTGAAATGATGGCTGAATTTTAGAGAATGGACTGTGGGTGGGCAACAGTGAAATCAGGAAGACTCATTAGAATGCGTTTTTCATGGTCCAGGCAAGAAATGATGGTGGCGTGGGCTAGGGTGGTGTCAGGGAAGATGGGGAGATGTGGATGGGTTTGAAGTATATTTTGTAGGACTTGGAGGTCAATTGGATGTGGAGGTGCAGGGAAGGAAGCAGTCACGTGTGGTGTCCAGGTTTGTTTTTTTGTGGGTTTTTTTTTTTTCTTTATTGATTTCAGAGAGGAAGGGAGAAGGAGAGAGATAGAAACATCAATGATGAGAGAGAATCATTGATTGGCTGCCTCCTGCACACCCCACACTGGGGATGGAGCCCGCAACCCAGGCATGTGCCCTTGGCCGGAATCGAACCTGGGACCCTTCAGTCCACAGGCCGATGCTCTATCCACTGAGCCAAGTCGGCTAGGGCTGGTG